CCCAAGTCCAGGTTTTTTAGGCATTAATCTACTTTTCCAGTCGTTATTTCTGCCCCAACTCTTTCAAACATTTTGCTGTTTTCAAATATATAATGAGAATAATGTGTTTTATCTAAACATAATAACATTTCTCACTATCGTTACTTCATGTTTTCTTTATGCTATTTTCAATTCAGTGCGGAGGCTAGGACATGGTAAATCAATGCATTCTCTTCGTTATTTACATTCTACATGTTGTCCCAACTTTTTTGGAAACAGGGCTCTAAATAAATGCACAGATCCACGACTCAGTCAGTATTTTTGACTACTAACCCGACTTTTGTTTTCTTCACTTAATAGAACTCTTGAACATGGCTAATGGCCTTTCCTGTCCCAGAAAGCAGAGCTGTACAATGTAGGGTGCTCACTCACACATATCAGATTGTCATGTCTTTATTCGATGCAATTTTACCGATCCCTTTATTGAATTGTAGCCAAAGACTATTGCTTGGTAATGAAGACAATTTGGTTCATTCTGCAGTGCTTGACAAATTAGAACAAAACTAGCCAGATTTGAAGTTGTTCAAGATGGAAACTAAGGGCTTAATTATAGCTGCAAAATAACCTAAAGAGAACATTTTGTGACCTTTTATCTTTTCAAAATTTGTTGCCATTTACATTATTGTTATTGCCTGAATTGTCTTGCTAAAAAAACTGCAAAGTGTTCATAGTGCTTCTCTCGATATGTGGCAGTATGAGGTGGGTGTGAGGCCACAAAATGACAGTAAATCTACACTCACCGAAGTTTTCTGGAATTCATTTTTGGTTCACTGCACAGTTCTGTGTGTTAGACTCCATCTACCATCTAGATTATCATCTCTTTTGCCCTCACTGAAAGAATAAGGAGTAATGTTTCTAAAGTATTTCTGCATTTTTCCTATCGTCAGCTAATGACAAAGTCACACTAGGGTAAAAGTGGCTGAAGATTGCAGCATGTCCAAAATTACTGTGGCGATGTAGAACGATATTATAATCTTGCTTCCTTTGAAATGGTTGCTTCGAACACTGGGACCAGTCTGCAACCACTCGCAGTCAGCTGCCCCCTTCAAAGCAACTTTGGTGTGTCAGGAAGGCAATAAAATAGCAATAAGACCAAGTCAGTCTGCTATCAGTTTGTGATGGAATGAAAACAAGTTGGTAATGGCATGCTGTCTGTTTGTGATAACACTCATTAACTTTGATAAATTGGTTAAAATTGCTAATTTGTTGCCATCTTCATACACAGAAATTCATCAGAACTTTGAAACAGACTCAGAAATGACTCTATAAGTAATGACTTAGTTGCTGCATGATGGCAATTTATTCCAATTTATTGGCAACCTTGCATTTATAATGGAATATAACCAGACTACAACCAGTTGGCGACCAGTTGAGACGAGTCCTCTTGCAGATGAGTTGCACTCACTAGCACACACTGACTGAGATTGATTGCAGTGTGTTGGCAATTTGTCTGTTTTTAAAGTGTGTTAATTTACACACCAATTATTTCTAAATTCTGCCATTCAGAGTCTGTGTTTGGAGACAGGTTGCCTTCTTCACTAAAAGCAGAAAACTTGAAAATACAAGTTCCAGGTCATCATCCTATTTTTCTCTAGCATAGACTAAGCCATAATCCCACAAAAAGTCCAAAACCAGCATTGTGTTTAATGGATCTTACCTAGTTTACAAAGTTCTTGCCCCATCTGAAGCTCTGACCTCAGAGTCCTTCCTTCTGTTGGTTTTTCAAAAATAAGATGTGGGTCCAAGTATGTGAGTGTGATGAAGCAAAATTTCCAGCCTAATCCAGCAGTGTGTCTAAGGTGATGTGTTTCTAATAGGTTTCTGCCAAAACATTATGCACAAAAAAACGCCTGTTTTTGTAGGTGCGCTCGTTATTGGCTTTGCTTGAAGGTTGTTCAGGGGAAGAAAAATGTCATTTATAATCTTTTGAAGGATGACAACATAGAAATCCATCAGCTATAATACACAATGTAAAGACGCAGAAAGACCATAAACTACTGGTTATGTATTTTAGGTTAAAGTTCAGTTAGTCACATTATGGGATGTGGGCCTACCCCATATTGAAGAAATAAAAAGTCAGTATATTTTTAGCTTTTCATTCTGTCTGTGGCAGTGGGATATTTGACATTTTAAATACCCTTTTAATGGATAGAAGACTGCGAAAACCACTAATCATGCTGCAGTTGTTGTTTATAAAACTACAGTCTCCGCAGAATGTACTGTTTTTCAAGCACTATAGGATAAATTGTAAAACTTGCATAATATATGGTGACACTACTGATGCAGAGCAGATACTTCTCGGTGTCATGAAGACTATTCATTGGCTGAAAACACTTCTGTTACTTTATGCACAATGCTGTAGCAACCAAGCAAGTCTGAAGTTCGATGAGTATGAATATTTAAGGCAGCGTGGGTCAGGGCAGTCAAAAAAGAA